TATATATATATATATATATATATATATATATATATATGAAAATCAGTTCAGGAGGTCTTTGCTTACTAATTACTTGTACTTGAAATTCATTTAATGCGACTAAATCAATGTTTCCTGTCAAAATTTAGTTATGCATTAATGAGCACCACCTCTCTCTCCCTTATTTTGCTTGATCTCGTCTTTGGGTACCAGTTAGCATCTAATATTGTCAGTACTCAATAGTAAAAAATTAGTTCAGAAAATATTGTCCAAGCTTTATCATCCATTTGATTGTGAATTGCTGGGTAATTACTGTATGTATAATTGAATATGAAAAATCAATATGTCCACCTTTAACTTTATGCCTTTTTAGCTTTGAATCCTATTAGTTTTGTCAATTTAGTGTGTAATGGTCTTATATATATATATTTTTTAAAATTCCCTCTTTTCTTTTTTTAATCTATTTATAATTGTGTTTGGCGGGGAGGGGGTGGGAATTGTTAAATTTCGGTGTGTTTTAACCAATTTCAATTGAAGATCATATTCATGCGATGAAATTATATCTAGCTGTGCACACAAATTTATGCTTTCGAAGCTTGAGTGATATAAATGGCTTGTTTGTATTTTATTGATTTTTATGATGCCAGTGTTCCTCTTGTTCAATGACTATTTATATATAATCTGTGATATTCATTTTCTTCCTTAATTCTTTAAAGACATTAGTTGTCTGTGGTTTTTGGCACTTGTTATCCTTCATTTTATAGACATTAAGTTGGTATACTGTTGAGTTTTTATTTTTCTGGTTTGGTAGTAATAAAGTTTAGGGTATGGGGAGGCAATTCAGTGGTACCAAGCTGTGGAATGAGACTTGTGGATTGCTCTGCTCCCGGAGGCTAACCCATTCCAAGATACCAGAGCATTCCACAAGTTTCATCGAGATCTTCCACTGGTAATTATAAATTAGATTGCCTACTACTAAGTGGCATTGCTTGTAGCTGAAATCAAATCTAAGCCTTTGAGTCAAAATGCTTCACGTAGATATAAACTGTTAGGTTGCTATTAATTTTCAACACACTTTTTGGCCAAATTGTTAAGTTCATATCTTCAACCCTTCTTTCGATCAAATTGCTAAGTTAGAATTTTTTTTAACTCTATTTATTAGACCAGTTACTTTGCCTCTCATGCTCTTCTTTTCTGAAATGTGCTATTTTTACACCATTTGTTTACATATCCTTTTGGCTATTTTAACTTTGATTGCATCTATATCCTGTTATTTTGTATTAATAAGTTATTTTAATCAGTTATAAGTTAAGCACTAAAATGTCACGAGCAAGTGTAGACAGGTGGAAAGTTTGGAGAAAGTAGAAAATGCAAATATAATTCCTTTTTTTCTCGGTGCACCCGTCCAAATTTTTTATTGTATTCATTTTTGTCTCGGATATTTCACTTTTTCAGGAATTTTAATGATAAGGATAGAGATTAGTGATTTATGTAATACCTTCAATTTTTGCTTGATTCTACTCATCTTTCTTTCATTTTGTGAGAATAATTGATATTATTGATTTTTAGGTATTTTTGTTGAAGCTTTTTTACCAGTATTTGATTCAATCTCCCAGTTGTTAAACATTCCTTCTCGTCTAGACCATTCAAGAATTTTGAACACCTTACAGGCCTTAGGGTCACATATTTTGTCTAAGAAGTTATAAATGTAGTTAATAGCGAGGACATGTTGCAATTTCATAGAATTACAGTCGAGATATTTCCCCTGATGAGGTGTTTGTGTAAGGGGTGTTTGGGAATGGTCACAATTTCTTTTGCATTGAAGTGCGGCAACTTCTAGGACTGTTTTTACCCCTTTACCTTATGGAATAAGGCTGTGTTTATGGTCTCTAGTGTTTAATGCGATGTTACAGTTTATCTCTGGTATATCTTATGCTCTTTACCAGTGTTGTTAAATAGCCGTTATGGCGGTGCCATAAAGGTATGGCGGCGGCGGCCGCGATCCGTTATGGCCGTTTAGGCTGTGTATGGCGGGGATCTGCCATTTTGAAGATGGCGGCCGTTACGGCCGTTAAGGCGGGTTAGGCATGGCGGTCCATGGCGTGAATGGCGGACATGGCGCCATTTTGGACCATTTTTTTTATTTATTTTTTTCGGTTTGGGCCATTTTTTTTTTCTTTTTTGGTTTGGGCCCGAGTTTCTTTCCCGGGTTGGGCACCCAACACATAAAATAGGGTTGCAGAAACCCTAATACATAATAGCCTCTCTTCCGTGCAACCCAACTTCTTATTATTAATAAATATTAATGTATTTAGTTAAAACTTAGATTAAACTATTATAATATATTGGATTTGAACACTGCTAATTGCAACACTCTTAGTTGCACATCACAGTACTGAATCAATAAATCAACAATACATAGTTGCACCCACTTCAGGGGCACTTAAAGTATAACTAAACAGGAGTTTGAAAATAAATAGAGCAATTCACCGCAACGACTGCAAAAACAGCGCACGCGCGAAGTTCAAAAGTTGGATTACATAAGTAATTAACACAACAAATGCAGCAATTAGACAGAAACAAACAATGCATCGGAATTAGGGTTGAACAAACTAACCTCTCGCATTGATCAGTTGCTTTTCGTTTTTTATCGGCGAGGGCTTCCTGTTCAAGACGCTCGAATCGCTGGTAGGTTTGAACGCCGGAATCATTGTTATCGATGAAGTCCAATGGATTCATGCCATTTTTGAACCTGAAAGTATACTCCTCGTCTTCTTCTTCCATGTCACCTTCCTCCTGTGCCGCGTTTTCTTCCTCTTCTTCTTCTCCCGCGCCTTCCATTGCGTCGTTCACTTCATCAATGTCGCTTCCCTCTTTCGCCATCGAATTCAGACGCTGCTTTCCAGCTCTTGGACTCTCGGTGTTTGCGTTGGTTTCTCACTCGTATAATCATGTTTCAACCCTATTTATAGCTCGTCTGATTTTTGCCTCCAATTTGAAAGTTACCCGGGTGGGCCCTCTTCATCCCATATCCCATGCATCCATCAAATCAAAATCAAGATTATGTGTTATTTAGGCTAAAATATATTTTTTTTTGTTTTTTATTTTTATTATGAAAATTCATTTTGATCTTTTATTTTTTAAAATATTTATTTCAATTTTCAACTTCTAAAATTGAGTTAATATTATTTTGACTAATTATTTTCAATTTTAAGATATAATTTTACATTATTTTCTACTAATTCAAAATGTAAAATAATTACATTAAATTCACAAAACTATAAAATTCAATAAATGTCAACGTCCATGTTAGCAAAGATATTAGTTTTTTTTAAAAGATATTGTGTAAAAGTTGAGTCTCATTAGCAACTAAAAAAATATGATATTTTTTCCGTACAAGACTTAATTTGGACACAATTTTCATCAAATTTTTAGTCTTTATTTAATCAAACATTAGTTGAATTTTATAACCTCATATAACAACTAAATCTTTTTTTTGGTAAAGAATGAAAGTAAAAATAACAGACAAATCAAGACATAGAGTCTCTTCCAAGCGGAAACAGGATAAAATCAGGAGGACTCCTCCAAACTACATTAGAACTCGTGTTCCGTACCCCCCAGTTGGCAAGCGTATGGGCTACTGAGTTTATCTCTATAGGGATAAGATTAACGTAAACTACCCAGTCCCGGGCTAGCAGGCACCTAATACGACGAATAACATCATAATGGTTGTGCAAGTAGTCCCTATCCGTTGATCGATCTTGAAACGGCATAACAGCTTCCAAGCAATCACATTCGCAACTCACCTTCCGAAACCCACCTTCCCAGCAAAGCGATAAGCCAGCGTCCAAAGCTAATAGTTCAGCACGTAACGCATCCCCAGTCAACGCTCCACATGAGAATCCACCCCGCCACATACCTGCACACTCACGAATTACTCCACCCATCCCCATAGCCGCAATGTCCCTCAACCAACTCCCGTCCGTGTTAAGTTTGACCCACGGATGCTCCGGAGGTCTCCATAAAGGTTGCTCCGTCCACAAGCGCCTCTTAGCATTATACACACTATTCTCCACCGTAGACAGTGTCACCTTCCTACGGACTGCCGAAATTGTCCAAAGCTCGCCGTTGAACAACATGTTATTTCTAAACCGCCAAACCCACCACAAGGTGATGGATAGCTTAATAACATCCGTATGTAGAATAATCCCCTTTAGCCACTGAAAACAATCCCTCTCTAAGAAGAACCACCCCGTACTGATCCCGCCAGCCATCAGCACCTCTCGCGAGTACGGGCAATCACGAAGTGCATGTAGGATAGTTTCTTGAGGGCAAGAACAACGCGAGCATGCACCGGACTCAGTGAGCCTCCTATCAGCCTGAACCTGGTTCGTTGGAAGGGCTGAATGAAGGCATTGCACAGAAAGAACTTAACCTTCTCTGGGATCAATAACTTCCAGACCTTCTTCCAAACTACATCCCCCTCTGTCGACAGGACCGTGGTCATAAATCGATATCCCGAGGCCGCTGCATAACAACCCGAATTATCACCCCTCCAGACAAAGTGATCAGCCACAAAGAGGAATTGACGACACTCAACCTATGGACCGAACTTGACAGCTCCGCCGGAAGAACAGTATGCAAGTTAGTAAAGTTCCAAACTCCACTAGCCCAGCAGTCGGCAACCGTTTTATTGATGTCCGCAACGTGAACGAACGGGACTCTCTCGCACCAAAGCATATATATATATATATATATATATTTTTTTTTTTTTTTGTCCGCCGTAGACCGCCATGGCATCCGCCATGACAATATGGCACTTAAAGGTCCTTGCCGCCATCCGCCGTATAACCTTATTGATAACCTTGCTCTTTACTAGATCTATTTTTCCTTCCTCCTTGACATTTATTCCATTTTCTTTAAAAGAAAGAATGGGTTAGAACAGTGCTGATAAGGGACATTGGTATTGGACATGATGTGATATGAGTTTTTGATCTCTCTTTGAATTTTTTTATCTATTTTTCCTTCCTCCATGAATTTATTGTATTCAGCCTGCTTGTTTGTTTTTATGATCGCTCTTTTCATGCTCTAACCTTTGTTTTCCCTTTTGATTGCAATTTTGGGGCACAATTGTTGTAGTGTGCAAGAATTTTAAGTTATGTTGGATTTATATAGTTGGTTTTGATTTTAGCATTGCATGGAGTGTACCTTATTTCAATGTTGATGGCTTGTGATGTAGTTTTTATTTAATCGACTTTATCGGTGGAAGCACATATGATGATTTGTTGTCTGTTAAATGATTATCTATCTTTATTTGCTGAAGAGGAATTCTGAATATCTTGGCGATTTCAGGTTTTGGCAAAGCCAAAGATGGTGATCATTTTCTCATGTTTTGAATGTGATAACTGAACAAAGATTACAGTTCATCTTCATAGACAAAGACTGCTTATTATTGAGGTAATATTGTCGCGGAATTTCAGAACAGACATTGCATTAGTTATGTTTTTTACTTACATTACTATGCTAGGGCATCTATAGTTGTAAACATAGTTCTAATGGATGTTTTTGAGAACTCTAGTAATTCTTTTATGATGGGTTTAGCATTTATTGCAATGTCTAGGCTCTTCTCGTGTCTCATGTGATGCATGCATCTCTCCATGCAGTTTGGATTCTTAGTTTTCTGAATTTTTATAAAAGAAAGTTGTAATAGTAATGTTTTGTCGTTAGGTGCATAAATCTAGTCTGATTTATGGCTTCAGTTTCCATCCACCTTTTTATGCCATATGATTATATATTTAAGGATGATATTAAAGCTAAGGCATAATCTGTCCTCGTAAAATCTTGTCATGTGTTTTATATCCTTGTATATTGCGATGTTAGTGTCTGCTGTTCTGACTCAAGGTTGTAGGAGAGGTTGAATGTGTTTTGAGAGTACAATTTTTCAGCTTCACTAAGGAAAGCTTGAGGGTTGGGAAAGTAGCAATTGTATATGAATTGATGTGGTCCTGAGAGAGTGGAACTGAGGGATAAGTAGGCCGAGACAGATAACGCAGTTGACAATCTTTAGACGATCAAGATAGTCATTAATTTTCCTGAAATCCTTGTGTTTGGGAGTTTATTCCTGTGCTTTTGTTTTAAGATGTCTTGCATTTTAAACATTTGATCAGTCAATTTCCACATTGACTTAAATTGTTTGTTCACCACGCTGACTTCAATGCATTGATTTTGTGGCTCATATTAGTAGTAGATAGTAGAAATTTGAATAAAACTACCTAACTTTGTCTTTCTTATTGCTAAGTTGAGATTACTTGTATCCTTTTAAATTGTTATACTTCCTGTGAAGAAAGTGTTAAGGATGTGCTCTGCACAGTTTGGAAAGCAGTTAAGTTCACAATTAGATTGTTACCGATCAGTGTAATTTGCTAAAACCATAAATTAAATTTTGACACTATGCTATACTTGATGCATGACATTGAACTTAATATGTGCTTCTTTCATGGTTGTATATGAAGTGAAACAAACTCTTTTAAAGAAATTCTTTGTTGTATATGCTAGCGTTGCTGTTGTCTAAATTGAATGCCACTTCGAAACTAGGCATTTTGTTTTTGAATGTTCTCTAGTGTATTTTTATTACACGTTTTAGGCTGCCAAGGCAAATCATAATATCGCATTGTTACATTAAGCCATACTTTTATTCCTCAATATTATGATTAGCTTCGTCAGCCAGTTCATTCATTTTACTTTTATTCATTTCATTGGAGGTTTATTGTTATTTTTTTCTCTTTTGTTGGCAAAATAATATTAAATTCGTACTGCATGCACCTTCACAATAGCTCATGCTTATTACTTTTTTTTCATTTGCCTGGCAGGTTGAGGGCTTTATGTTTATGTAAAACTTAATTATTGTCTCGATAACTAATTCGTCTAATTCGAAAGGTTACTTTCTGTTGGACTGTGAAATAAGCATAAAATTCTTTTTCAGTAGAAGAATTGAAACAAAGTGGAAGGGTGAGGTTAAGGTGCTAATGCTTCGTACACTACTCGGACCATAAACTCAATTTCAATGCCAATTAATGTTATTCTGTGAACGCTGAATTTTGTATATAATTGGGAAATATTTTTACTTGGTAAATTTAAAATATCCATCTGTTATTGAAATTAGATGACATTAGTTATACCCATGCAGTCAAGTTCAGTTGGGTCGAAGGGTGAGTTTTAATTTATTATCAAGGTCGAGTTTTATAAACAATTTGTTTTTGACACTAGTTATGCTTAATTAGTAGCAAAATGTGCACTTTTGGATTCTTGAAGTGATAAAATTTATGCAGAGGTGATCATTTTAAGAGAGAACACGGATGAAAATAGTCTCGTTACTTGGATAATTTTTTTTTTCACGACAATGAGGAGAAATATATGTACTTTTGACATCCTTAAAAAAGGCACTTTAGACTTTGGTTGTCTTTAATGTTTATAAAGTGATTTAAAATTCATTGATTAGTGTATTATTCTGTTAAATATGTTTAGCAAGAGATAATTTCATTGAAGAAATAGTAAATAATTTAATACTTATTTCATTCCTTTATTTTAGGGATGTAGAAGCGAAATTGGCTTGCAAGTTTTCATGTAAGGATAACCTGTGGCCATTATTTGGAAAGTCTGTACAGAAAATTGCATGTCGAATGGGTGTTCTCGTATTCACACGAGATAAAAGGGGACCAATGGATGAATAACATTGTTTAGAGGGTATTTGTTAAATGCTATTTGTAGCCGCAAGATTCAGCAAACCCAATTTGCCCAACAAAACGTGTTATTGATCTGAGACTTCTTCCCAAGAATGGTCGACCTTCTACTAAAAGATTTACGGTAAAAGTATCTACATTTTAGTTAATATCTAAATAATTTGCGCACAAAAATTTGTGCGGTACAATATCTATTTAACTTTCTATTTCTTAATTGTTAAGTTAATGCAAATCTTTAAATTTTGTTTTTTTATTTATGAAAGTTTAGTATTGACGTCAATATAATTCAATGCTTACAAAATATTATTTGATCAAATATATTAATTTTGAGTTCTAACGCAGTTACACCATTGTTTTACTTAATCACTATCGTTTGGTAATTTTACCGCATCCGCAGAGCTTAAGAAAGAAGTTGAATAAACCATCCATTTAGCATATGAATTATTACTCTATTCTAAGTTTTTAAAGCAATGAAATTATATAACTAGTCTATAAAGTTGAATATCCATCAATTTAATTCTTGGATTGATATATCGAGGGATTAATTTGAAGAATTTTTAATTTCTGGAGATTATGTAGCATGATTTCTATATTTTAGGGTCTATTTATATAATTTTAGCATTTTCTAATTTATAGACTATATAGATGGAGAGTGATAATTTAGAGACTAAATTGATGGTTTATTTAAAAAATAAGTTGGAAGCATCAAATAAAAAATAAAAGGTTCACGTTAACGATTTATTAAGGTTATTGCTAACAGATAAAGTTCAGCCGATACAACATGCAAGGCAAACCTGGTACGGATTTTTATTTTCTAAGATAATTTTTTTATTTTTGGCCATGTTAGTTAGCTGCTAAAAAGAAAAACACACCCACACAATTTCTGGGGTAAAAAACTGCGACCTTTCTTAGCAATTAGTAAATGTAATATTATTTTTTTGCTAACGTTTTTTGCATTAAAAAAAAAAACCTACTGGTATGTGACTGCCAAAGATTTGAGAATCTTACATAAGGGATCAAAATTTTTCTGTTAACTATTTACATATGTATACTAGTGAAGTGCACCTGTAAACCTTTTTTCGCCACTTTTTGGGTTGGGCAAACTATCCACGATAAGTTTCACAATACCTTAGCTGAAATGGTATGTAAATCTGGTTTTTAAACTCTAACATGAGGTTTTAAAATAATATTTGGTTAATAGAAACAATGCGGATTATGTCTATGGACAAAAAACTTAAACTTGAGGTTGGCTAAATGGATGATTTGATCTTGTGCTTAATGATTGCAGTGTGTTTAAACCACCTGATCCAATGCAATTCGGCTACCAGCTTTCTGCCTCTGAGCTAGGCCCTTTGATGATCTTGTTGAAAATGCTCCATTGTTGCCATTATCCTTCTTCAAGAGCATCTCTGGAATACGCTGAAGGTTAGCTTCAGATTTATGATTCCTTCGTATAAGTGTACTTTTCCTTTTATCAGTGTCACTTTTCCTGGCTTTTATAACTTCCATAATATCAGGCCCTTCCATAATATCATCCAATGTTCCATTTGCCAAACTACGAGACTTTTGGTGACGATTAACATGTTGAGGGGACAATACCGAGTTCCGACTGAATGAACCATTTTCTTGACCTTTGTAACACCTTTTTTCGTACTCCTCAATGTTAAATATTTCAGATGCTGATTTCTTCATTGTTGGTTTAGCTCCATAGTAACCTCGTAAGGAGCTAATCACTGGGGAGAGGAATGACTCAAACACTTCACAGTGTCCATTATCAGGTGAATTGTACTCATCGTTATCATGTCTGAAGGGATAATGTTCAACAAAATGAATTTTATAACGTTTCATAAAAATGAATACTCTCTCTGTTAAGACCCAATTTATATTTATATAAGGTTTAATTCATATTATCTTATATATTAATTAATTTTATATTAAAATATTTCTAATTAAAATATATTGTCTTAATTTAATAAAATATATTAATTATAAATTTTTTAAAGACCACGTGTTTTAATTGTTTGGAAAAAAAATAAATATTAATTAGGAGAGAGAAAATAATTACTTAAAAATATATTAATTAAATTAATTATTTTTGTTAATATTGATGAATTACGTAATTGAGTTTTATATATAAAAAGGAAGCTAGTATTAAGTTTTAGTGGTAATCGTGAATTAAGAAACATACCCTGTAGAACTGGAACTATAGGGAGAAGAAGGGTGCTTTCCATTTTGTGGAATGTGAAGAGTCTTAAGAGCAAACATCTGTCTGTCTGTAACAAGTCCATTCATCTTCTTTATATCTGCAACCTACAGTTTTCCGAATCAATAAATTACAACTTCATTAGGAAATTTACACATTCCGCCATAAAAAAATCACCTATAGGAATGATATTCCAAATCACTAGAGTAAAGTTTTTCATGCGTTTCATTCATCGAATTTTCTCGCCATATTGATTTCGATTCATTTTTTTTCACAAAGTTCATTGCTCCCAAAAGATAAGAAAGTGAGTGTCACATAATTTATTCATATATATATATATTATGAATATGATCTACGCAATATTTCAAAAGGGACAACTTATAAAATGTGATTTTTGTTAATGAAACATTATTTTAACAAAAAAAAAAAAAACTACACCATTTTTGATGATGGCCAAGAGACTTGATTATAATGTTATGGAAGCAAATTGGTAAATATACCTCAACACCATACTTGATTGCGACGCCAGCTAGCGTGTCCAATTTGGAAATAGGGTGCTGAATGGGTACGTTTCCATTATAATCAAACGTGGCGCGTTTTTGTATCTGCATTGCGTTTCTGCGAAAATTCACCTTCAAATTAATATTTAGAAAATAAGCAAATAAGCTCATAAACGGATTCTGCTTCTCCGTATTCTCTTTCCATTTTCATCCAAATGCGTGAAATCAAAGGGTATACGTACGGAATGAGATCAAATGTCTATGGACAATGGAGCAATGATGCAATCATAATCTTGCAGTTGAGGATCTGATTATGATTTTCTGTGAAATTTTCCAGAAAAAGAAACCAAGATTTCATTCATTCTTCTCCCTAACCACCATCAAAATTACTCTAGCCTTCACTATTCTTTTAGTTTTTATAAATATACACCATAACTAAAAATGAATTTTTAACTATTACAACTATCAATACATATCAGTCGGATTGCAATCGAAACATTTAAAAATAGTAATTTTCCAAATGCATTTTTGGCAATTCTCAATATGAAAAAGAGGTCTTGGTGGTTTATATTTATGTATCCGCTGATAGTCATCCCTACCAATAAAAAACAAACTAATCAATTTATGACCTCTGAAACTTTAGATCATGTTGGTAATTGTTTTTCAGTGGTAAAAGGAAAGCTAGAATTCAATAGCATTCGATCACTCTAAATTTGTGTATTTTAGCAAAAGTAAGTGAATTATATACCACAACCACTAGAATGCTTGGTTGATATGAGAAATTTTCAGTGGCACCTTTAGTTAGTTTTATGGATCTACAACACAACTTGAATACTACACCATATATTACTCTATATATAATAATATTGCAAAATATAATATTTATTATTAAATTTTTTTCCATTTAAAAAAAAAGTGAATAACATTGCAATATAATATTCTTTATGCGCTTGAACATATTGAATCAGATTCAACTCTTTTTAATCAAGCTTTGCCCTCCTTCTTCGATAACTTAGTTTTGTTAGCTATTATTGTTAATATTTTGATTAATGCTTTTTTAACTCTACTTATACCTTGGTTTGACTTATTAAATTTGCTCGATATTTTATACTACAATTTTATTTAAAATGGAGATCATGTTATTTAGTATAGTTAATATTTAGGTTTAAACAGTTATGAACACACTATCATGGAAAAAGGGCACTTTCTAATAATTATAATTATACAAGGAGCAAACAATGTATAGTGTGATTATTAATTTGTTGCTTCTATTATTTGTTCTTTTGTTGTATATATTAAAATAAGAGTAAATTCCAAACCTACTCATATAAATATATTAAGTGTATATTCAGTAACTACACCAAAAATAAAAATACCATTTTATTGCTTTTTCTATCAGGAAAGTATAACAGTATGCTTTTGAAGTAAAAATCAACGTTCCATTACTTCGCATGGAAACAAGGCCAAGACGCCTCAATTTTAGGAAAACAATACAGAGGAGGATCAAAACTAGGGAACGAACATGTCAATTTATATTTTATTTATTATCCAACATTTTTTTGGCAACAGTTATATCTCAATTCTTTAGAGCATGTACTATTTCTATAAACTAAATTTGAATCATTTATTCCATTTTTTTTTTCTTTCCTGAAGTATCCATCGCTGATAGTAATATTTATTCCATCTTTTTATTAACAAGAAAAAGTGTCTTTAGATTTTAGTAAAATATATCTTCATTACAGTATTTTTCAGAAAAATAAAATAATTACTATATTTGTCTCAATGTAAAAAAATTGATTTTATAAAGTATACATTTTGAACGTGTGAAAATGAGAAATCATACAAGCATCTTACTAGCTACTCAGTATAAAAAAAGTGGTCTCGGTGGTTTATATTTATGTATAGCAGCTGATCATCCCTACTTAAAAAACGAACTACTTATGGCCTTTGAAACTTTAGATTATGTTGATAATTGATTTTCAGAGGTAAAAGGAAAGCTAGAAAAAGTAGTCACACTCAACAGCATTTGATTACTCTAAATTTATGTATTTTAACAAATGTGAATTGTACAGCCCAACCACTGAATGCTTCATATGAAAAATTTCCAGTGGCAGCTTTCAGTTCCGTATGGATCTACCACAACCTGAATACTACACCACCATAAGATAAGACTGAGACTAATCAAGTTCTTGATCTTCGTCTTCACTATCCTCTTGATGTTCTCCATCTTGATCTTCTTCATCGTCACTACCTTCTTCATCTTCTTCACCTTGCATCTCATCGTCACTTTTTTCTTTGCCACCAGCTTTTCCTAACAGGGAAGTGTAAGAGCATTAGAACTGTTAGCACAGGCAGAAGAGTTTTGAGGGAAGTCTGTACAAAGAACACGTAGTTCGTTGACAAAAGATGTAGGCAATTGGAGAATTCAAGATCAGAATAACATAAGCCAAGGGGCCAAAGCAACGAACAAGGGAGAAGAGGAGAAGAAAGAAAAATGAATTAACTTATGAGAGTTGTAAAGGAAGTAAGGACTTCTACAGGATATATGCAATTGAGATCAGAAGATCAGCAATCTCTACTACCAGAATGCTAACAAGAACGACAACTTTAATGAATATGATCTCTGTCAGCATCAATGAAATATGTATAATGAAAAGGTGCTTATGGATTTGGTACTTATGATTCATGATATGATACACATTGATGCATAGCTCAAAATAATCATCTGTAACAAGGAAACAAAATTCCAGGAGAAAGTTTTTTTATGCTGTTCTACATGAAAATAGTTTATTGCCATTGGTCCATCTCTAATTTTTTATTCAATAATAGCTCAAATGAACTTCTATTCACATCAGTGCCTTTAATGAATTTAGACTGTTAACTATATTTGTGGCTTTAATGGATTTTTCAATAAAAATAAGTAAATTACTCAAAGTCAAATTGTAGGATGATATACCATATTCACTGAAGAGAACTTCACCCGAACACAGACCCTTCTCAATTTTAACTAGTTGAAGAGTCATCCTAGGTCCAACCTCTTGCAGTTTGACAGCACTTTTTGTAGAAGCACGATTAACTCTACCAATATTACTAGATAAAGTCACTGTTGCTGCTTCTTCATCAGCTTCACTTTCTGATCCGTAGCCAGCCCTTAAAATCACAAGTGAAACAAAATGAGAAGGGGGGAAATGGCATGATAAATTATTTTGCATAGATCACCCAATTTTAGTTAATTTCTGAACTACTTTGTTCTTAAGTAAAATACAAGAGTTCAGGAAATATTTCACTAGAGAAAAAAAAAAACTTCGGAAACCATTTGGCAAATTTATACAAACAAAAAAGGTTAATTTTGTGTTCTCCACTGAGTAATTGAGAAAAGAAAATGCTTCTGGTATTTTTTTTCCATTAAGCTTCTCTTCATTGCTTATTATTTATGCCTCACAACATTAACATGCACAACCTGACAAAGAGGAGTTCTTCTGATCCTAAAATCAGAAGCAAATGTACCTTCCTTTCCAGGGCAACCTAACATTTGAACCTCCCAGTTAAAAAAAATATCCCTACACTCAGGAACTAAGAGTTACACTGAAAACCAAGACTGAGGAACTGTGAGCAAGTTGAATAGGTTTCTGTTCATTCCATATCTCAATACTCTGAAATATCAGATCATCCGATTTAAATATGGATAATATGGGTGGCATGCAAAGGTCAAATGCATCATATCAGCTCTTTTTTAATCCATCATTCAGAGAGAGAAAAAAATGAAAACATTCATAAATAAGCAAGTATCTTACTTTGTGACAAAATCACTAACGTCTTGAAGATTCTTTAGATCAGGAACCTGATGGGTTTGCACAAGTTTTCTTATTCTGCGTGAAACACCTACAGGTTGTAATCTTATGGAATAATGCCGAAAATCAATGAGCTTAGTGTCCTTGTTGTAATTAAGCAGCAAGATTCTTTGGCAAGAGGAGAGCTTTACCTGAAATAATGTGTCATTAAGAGATGAATGACTTTATTTTCAAGTAAGGCATTGATGTGTATGTGCATATAAACTTACAGTTTTGACATCAATTGTTGGAAAAATATTCTGGAACATGTTGGTTGTAAGCCGTAATGGTAGATCTCCACTAATGAATCCGGAAAGCACAATCTGGCAAGAAAACATGGAGGCATAAATCTTGGATAAATAACAAAAGCAAATAACTTAACTATAAACAGTTACAATATAATATGCAGTAAACAATTGCATATTTTAGTACCGAAGTTTTAACTAGCTGCAAAAGTTGTATATTCCCTAGTTAAATACTATCAGTCTACCATTAGCAATTAACCCATACACGAAATTGATAATAAAATGAACATGGACATCACAAAACAAATTCATGTTCAGTACAATAACCATTTGCAGCAAACAAACTAACATCTCTTGTGAGTCTTGACAATCTCATCAGTTTTCAATTTGATAAGGATTAAAGGTAATAACATAATGAATAATCCAATAATCCATTTCTTGCATTCCATTTGCAATCTTTAATCCAGTGCCAGAAACAGGGTGAATGGCACTTGAAAAACAGATGATATTATGAAAAGTAATCAGTTCCAATACTCCATTTAATAGTCTAAATTTTAAGAAGCTGCAATGCTTCAGTTGCATGTGAGTGAGTACACAGAAATACTTTACCAAAGCAGAATTTTTAAACAGATCCTTAGGGCATCGAGGATGCAATTGAGATCGAGCAATGTCAGCAGCCAATGCATATTCATGTATCTTAAACGTAAGAGTAGGCCCTTGAGGGGTAGTTGCAACCCTCAAGTAAGGTGAAGTTGCAGTTTTTGACAATATGAGGAAATGCGTGACACCCATAGGTCCAGCAACATTCAGAAAGTCTCTCAGATTATTCCGTTTTTTTTCCTGCAAAAAAGGAGACATAAACAGTATATGGCAGACATTAATTATCACATAAGCCACCATGTCATATGTAGATTGAAGCCAGTGAAATGCATATCTAGTGTGACAACCATAAATCCCTACTAAAATCAATTTCACTGTTTTTTCTTTGCAAAATTGTAATCCGTCTTCTTGTTAATCATTTATTAGGTTGACACATTGACAAACTAATAGTTGCAAAATTCATAAACTAAGTCAATGCAAGACTTGCAATAGAAGTTAAATTGCTACCATACTTAATGCTTGATCTCTTCATAGAATAACATTTTCAGACCATCCAATAATTCGACTAGAACTTCCTTCAAATAATAAAAATAAAAAAAATCAGGGAATACTTTAAGTCGACAAACATTGCCACATGACCTCTCACCATCTTTGTCTTAACAAAATCCCCAGAGTTGACCGTCAAAAACTGTACAACTTAACAGGGTGCTCCCAGCATTCTCGAAACACATCAGATAATCTTACTCCAGGTGGATCTAGGACATCTAGCCACAGCCCACAGGGTACAATTTTCTTTTTCTTTTTTAAAAGGTTAAGCAGCAAGTAACTATTAGAGTCACAATCACCCACAACATGATGACAACACAACTCTTTATTTTTGTCTACCCTAGTGTTAGACTAGTTGCAGGCACATAAAAAACAAATTACCACAAAAACAATATAATGTATCAATTTCTCAAAAGTTCATGCAAACATGAATAACGGAAGTAAAGAAAGGGAAAATATATTAACCCTAAGGCTGAGAGCAGTATATGGAAGCATCAACTTCCTGAGGTCCATTTGAAGCTGTTTGAGAGGAGCGGGCACTTTGCCTCGCGAAAAAACGAAACTTTTGGGGATTTTCTTTCCCGTAATGGGATCCACGCTGGGTTGCTCTTGCGGTTGCTTCGGTTTTTTGATGATAATGGGCTTCCTGAACCCATTTTTCTTCTTCCTCTGTTTTGTTCACAACAGTAGTTAGGGTTAGTTTCAATTCAAAAACACAAACAGGAGAGAGAGAGAGAGAGAGAGAGAGAGAGAGAGAGAGAGAGAGAGAGTGGTTACCATTGTTTTCGATGCCGCCGAATGGGTTTTAGGTTTGACAAGGGTTTAAAGCTAAAAGAGGAGGAAATAGTTATAGGATTCTTCTTCTGTCCTCTTTTCTTCACTCAAGGAGGAGTAACATAATAAATTATTAAAATTACAAATTTAAATATTTTTAAAATTATGGATTGTTAAGATATTTTTTTAAGAAAGGATAAGCGAAAGTATATTATTATGATTTTGATTTTCTTAGATTGTTAGTGAAAATTTTAGCTCACTAATATTTCGCAAATGATTTTAAAATAATTATACCAAAAATAAAAATATATATTTGTGATAATTTATAAGTGGATGATAATGTAAAATATTTATACTAAAAATGAATTTATTTAAAGTATTATTGTTATTATTTATGTACTGTATGTTAATATTTTTTGTACTTATTTTATGAAATAAATAACTTAATAAATTTTAGCTTTTTTATTCAAAACATTTTCAAATTATAGTTTATTGAATTTGCTCTGTATATTAAAGATATTTTTCGATTTTTTATTCATGGTATCAAACACGTGTATAAAAAAAAGTTTTGATACTCAACTCTACTGCTTAATTAACTGAGTTAAACTTTCTTGATAATAACTAATATTCTTCATTTAATAAGTAAAAATTAATATTTTTTAAACGTGAAAGTAATTAGAATAAAGTTTACTTTATACATATATAAATAATGAAAAATCCACCTATGATCAAAATCAGAATAATATTAATGGCAAAAAGTTGCTACACAATTATTTTTAAATTTAATTTTTATTCACGGGTGAAGATAAATTTTAGAAATATTTACAAAAATAATCTGTAATGAATAGAGTAATCACTCGCTTAATCGGTAAGGATACAAGCAATTACTTACAGAATTTAAATAGGATGGATGACGGTATCGACACCCAAGTGTTCGGTGCCCACCACAAATGTTCATAAACTGATTCAACTTAATAAACTATGAAGAAAAAAAAATCAATTTTAATAAAATTTGAAAAAATTTACTCAAAAAAATTTAAATAAAAAATTTCAATTTTTCATTGGATAGAAATGAATTTTGAATATGGATCCAATCCAATTCTGAACTTACACATTATGTATATATTTTTATTTGTACTCATCAATGTTAATATTTTTATTTCTTATATATTTGTAAAATTATTTGTACTCCAATAATTAGTATTTATCATAATAGGTTTTTTATGGGTCCAATAGAATATTATGATTTTTCTTTGATTTTAGCAATTGACAATTTTCTTTGGTTCGATAACAAATTATATTGAATTGTAATATGATTTTGGACTTGATATAATTAAGTAAAGTGTTAGAATAAATCGAATCATCTAATCCAAACTGTGTTTTACCCGATCAAACCGCATATTTTAATCTTTGAAGAGGATATTTTTTAGCTCAGAAACCCAACCAAACTGATCCTATTAATCCATTTTATGTCAATGTTCAATCTGTGTAGCCAATGTTCCAACAGGGGAAAGTATAAGTACGAGAATAAATATATATTTTGGCGTGACTTGTTAGATGTTGATCAGGAAGCCTAAATCGCACCAGTAAATACAGTGATAGTCACAAAAACCCTTTCGTAGATGTAGCATGGAATTTGAAGTTTCAATGTTAACTTTGGGGAACTTGAAAAACCTTCTACAAAACTTGAGGGTGTATATAAGCACATACTTATTTGCTTAAGCTTACAAGAGAAACCTATGACCTTCTCATTAACTCTTCATCTTATGTAATTTGCTAGTGTTTTTTAAAGTATGCATCTAAATGCAAATAAGCTTATAGAAATAAGCGCTTATGATATAATATCTCGTATGGTAAACTCTTTTATATAGGCACTTTTACAGTACCCTGCTTTTGCAGTACAACATAATGAACACATGCAGCATAAAATGGAATTTTAATATAATAGTAACCCTGGCAATTACAATTTTACATTGACATAATATTGCTCTCTTTACAGTAGTAAGGTTTGTGTCTATACTTCCTCACATTTTTTTAGCATAACAGCAAGGAGTCGATTCGATCCCATAGCTCTCTCCACATTAATGAATGTTAAGCATGGATATGTAATCTGCTACAAAATTGCAAACGAGGCAACAAACCTACAAAATTACATATTTCAATAAGAAAATTGAACCATTGATCTTAATTATATAAGAAGAATCATGATCCCATGCTTGAGGTCCTCGGTAAACCTAGCGTGCATTAGTTAGCTCCAAAATTAATGATGCCAAGGAGGATAAACTGAAAATCATAAAACTAGCCTTCATATAACAAGTTCCTGACAGTTGAAGCAACCATTTCAGATTTACTTCTTAATTTGTCTGGTGTGGTTAATTACCATTATTTTTCTTTTCTTCTACAACTTCTATCATATTCTTTCTATTTTTTTGTTTTGTCTCCAGCTCATAAATTAAACCAGAAAGATGGGAAGGTGCTCTGTATACATATTCAGCTTCCAACACTCAATCCCAAGACAAATATAAATATTTACAGATGGTTAAATGATGCAGGTAAAAAACTACAAGTGATATTCAAAGATATAATGCTTATATCAACCAGAATGAGGAGAACACTACTTACCATGTCGAATTACAACTCTATCCAAGGTAGCGAAGCAAGACTCCATCATTCCCCAATACAAATCCCTTCTTGTCATCAAGGAACCTGTGGCAAGTAGACCATTTACAACAAGACTTTACCAATAAAAGTTTCATAGCCTTCAAAATAGCATTAACCAATTCTCATAACTCCTGGAATTTGTTTTCATCCAGTTCTTTTTAAACATAATAGATAACAGTTTACTTCCAGTCAACTCCATCCATGATAAAATTGAAAAGAAGCTGCGTAGAGAAAGATGTAAAATATAAAATGCAACATATATTAGCAACATGAGGAGCCTGCTGTGGTTGGGAGGGGAGCTCTTCCAAGTAAATATGTGCTTTTAAAGTGCAGACAAAAGAATAACTATAACTATAAAAGAAGTGAGGCTTAGTAGTAGTTAGACTGACTTCACTGAGTATAAATTTGCAGCAATGTTGTCAGCAGCTTTGTCACGGATCCATGACTTGCCACCATTAGTAGTTCTCAAGAGAATACCACTTCCTCCTGCTGCCCAAGCCTCCTCCTGTATGCATAATTTAGCATATTACATATATGTATGTATATATATGTAAGTATATATAAGAATGGCTTTAGCATTGTTCTGTGCTATCAAAATTAATAAACTAAAGAGGCAACAGCCATATTTTGAATGTTCTTTTTATTTTTCTTTTGGAACTTGTGGCTGACTGGACTGTTACACACAAGACTTGGTAACTTAATAAAGTAAATCTTTGAATGGAGGAACACTTTACCGATGAACGATATCCCACATCAAGAATACCAAAACCTCGGCTTTGAACAGGAACCTCCTCAAATTCTTCAGTTAACTGAAACAATAATATATATTTGTTCTTATTTGAAAAGAAATGCAGCAGAAATCGACAGCAAGCAAAAAGAGCAACAAATCTGATTGTTTTTTATATAACGATTTTAATTCATCACTTTGGAAATCTATCATATTCAGTATAATAAAGACAGAAACAAAAAAAGGTTCATGCACTTATGCACTTTCTTACAAAAGGTTTTTGTTTTTACAATCCTCTTCCACTTCTCCCTCCTTCAACAAGATGCAACTCAAACATTTTGGACTAGTTGAATTTGGAACACAGATTAATATGATTAAAATAGTACATTTTCGATTCAACTTATTTTTCGAAATCAATCTGTTTCCAAACATGCAGTTAGTGGAGATAGGCATACTAAAGTGAATATCTGACAAAACAAGGAAAGTGAATGCAGGAAAGATGTTTCATCAAAGACAGAGGTTTCCTCGTCAATAAATAAGACGAGAGTAAGTAAAGCAGTCTGTGAATGTAAAACATGATAGAAGAAAAGCCCCACCAAAGAAGGGTGGCAAAATTCAAAGCTAATTTAAGACTTAAGAAAATAGTTAAAAGATTATCCAGAATGATGGTGGTAAGGAATGAAATGGGAGACTAGAATGACATTCTCAGAATTATTTACCCCTGTGCCCTTGCTGAGATAAAGACCGCCTCCACGAACAAGAAGCCACAGACCACCATCAGCTCTCCATCCCATGTTCTGGATTCTTCTGGCAACTGCTCTATTATGAGGCTGCCAGAATGGCTGAAAATAAAATAAAATAAAATAATTATTATAAAAAACACTATGCACGCAGACAAACCATCAATCAATATGATATCAGCTGGTTTCCATAATCTATACAAGCCACCATCTGAGATATATATCCCAAGGAAGAGCTACTGCATTATTATAAACTTTAGAGTCATGATGCATAGAGAATGGAAGAATAGATTTCTACAGTAAAAGAGCTGGTGAAATAAGAAAAGGAGAGAATCTCCTCCGATAGTAGTAAACTTTTTTTCCTCAGGAGGTCCATTCTATCTATGAAATGAAATCAATGGGATGAAAACAGTAAAAAGAAAAGAAACCTTTTAGATAGAGTACAAGAAAATTCATGGGCATGCACAACAGGAAAGGTGCTTTAGCTTAGTTCTTGGGTCTTACATCAAAGAAGACCCAGCATTCATGTTACTAAGAAAATTTTGAATGTATAAAACTATTATTTTACAAGGATGATGTCATCATATCCCTGTAATAGAACAATTTTCATTAGCTCGGCAACTGCATGTGATCTGATCCACCAGACCAGTTTATGGATGCTACTTCAGAATTTCCAATATTGATAATTTCACTTCAGTTGAACATTTCCACATAATTCAAATGCCAGGTAAGGCATACCAAAAGTACAAGTACCAGGCAAATATAGAAGCTAAAGCAAATGCCATCATGAATTAAGAGCCTCACCTGACCAGGCTCCCAGGTTAAGTAGAAGTTGCCCCTACTTGAGACTGCAACATACCTTCCATCTGGAGAGCGATTGACAGTATTGAAAGTCCCAGTGTAATAACTTGCACCACTAATACCACTAGAAACTGTTCTGAAGAAGCAACACAGATAGATAAATGCCTTGACAACGACATATAAAACTGAAAACATTTAGCAATTTACATAATATGAAAGACGACACACAATGAACGAGTTTCTGAAGCATATAACCAAGCAAGTCAAACTTCTTCGCGAATAACACCTTCGACACTCACCCTATATTAAAATTCTTCAAGCAAATCTCGAACATTCTATATTTATTACTTCAGTTACTGATTTGAACGAATAGCATTACTACACGAGTACCCATAATCCATAGTTCCATACACATATCCTGCATTATTGGAAACTCACCTGTTAAGAGTAGCTGACACAGTTTCCTGGACAGCAGCCCTCCAGTTGTAACCTCTGTTAGCAGTGACATATATCGCACCTTCGTCAGTCACCATCTCTGCACTCTTCTCACCAGTCGCCTTTATGTACACCTGCAACACATCACATTACATTTCAGCACAAATTACAAATAAACAAAAACATTATTATTAGAATAAGAGTCTGATTAGATAAACTTTTCCATCCATAGCACTTTTGAAAGGAAAAAAAAAAAAAAAGTAAAAATGAAAATGAAATAAACTTTTCTATAAGTTAAAACTAGCTTATACATAAGCTAATTTGTAATTCTTAGGAGGTTATATCAAAGCTTCCACAAATTAGTTTATATATAAAGTTATTTTTAATTTATAGAGAAACAGATGTTATCTTTTCTTCCATAAGTATTTTTTGGAAAAGTTTATCCAAAAAAACCCTAAATAACAATGCATGCACAACCATATCCCCCGGAAGTTCAGCACTGAGAGGAATCCTCTCCCAACTTTCTCCAGAATCAGCAGTGTACAAAAGAATCGCAGGTTTTCCAACTATCCAACCTTCCTTCCCTTTGAAGCTAATAGAATTGAAGCGGTAATTGAAATCCTCGTCTTCGGCAGAGGGAATCGAACGCGGAGCCCAAGTGTTTCCTCCATCTTTCGTCTCCAGAATGGTTTGTCTCGTCCCGAGAAGAAAACCTAAAATGCAAACAGCGTTCATTCATTTAACCGCAATTCGAAGGCATCCGAGAGGAGAATGCAAATTGACGGTACCGTGGTTGGGGTCGTCGGGGACAAAAGCGATGTCGAGAAGCACGACGCCGGGGTCGATAGGGAGGTAAACTCTCTCCCACTCGGAAAGCGCTTCTTCGGCTCTGGCCGGCGCGAAGTGAGGGAGCGAGACGGAGATTGCGGCGGTTTCGGCGATGAAGCGTCTTCTGGTTCTGGAGAAGTCGATAGAAGAGGCTTTGACAATGAGGCTTCGGGTTCGGCTTCGAGAGGAAGCTCGCGAGGAAGGTAAAGAAGACCTGAAGGAGGAGGTTGAGTCGGTGAAGGTGAATTGCAGAGTCGCCATTGCTTCTTTTGTTTTCCTTTTCTCTCTCTGCCTTATCCTAACGGCTTCGCGGGTGATTTCAAGCCGCTTCACTTCTTCATCTTCACTCAGTGGATCATACGCTTCCAACTCTAACCTTACTATTTTTATTTTTTTTATTTCTATATAAATTTGTTATAGTTATAGACAAGCTCTCTCTGTCTCTGTGTATCAGAGATATCACATTATCTTACAAACTATTTTTGTCAATTAAATTAAATTTCAAACCACTTTCTTAAAAATTAAAAACTTTACAATTATTTTTCACTTTATATTTTTTGTATCTCCCTGCGGGTTAAATATTCTAATATAAAAATAATTTGTATAATTAATATAATTTTGATAAATCTATGTATTTTTTAAGAACATTTTTAATATCACAAAAATAAATCATATACATACATTTATACATTGAGGATCAATTGCATCGAACAATTATTTCAGGAATGGGGCTCACAGGAAACTATCACACGCTCATTAAGACCTTGACTAGCTAGCTAGTTGAGGCATGTGTAGAGTGTGTCCCTAACCAAATTAAAAAATATTTTCTTCATAATTATTTGAATATCTTAAGTCATCTTTAAAATTATTTTAATAAAAATGAAAGTAAGAAGATTCAATTTATCTCGTTACATAATAGACCCAAATAAAGTTTTGATTATATCAGTTGTTTTTTACAATCAATATATTAGAGGTTAAGATCGGTAATATATGATATTCTTTTAACATAGCTTTTAATTAAGAGTGTTTGTCATGTGATTTGTTTAAAATTTTGTCTTAACAATTATTCCAACCAAGTAAAAAAAATTAAGTATGATTGAATTTAATTCGATTTAAATGCATTATAAAATTTGAATCAAATCAAATTAATATTTTACTATTTGATTTGGTTCATTTTTTGAAATTTTATAAAATTATTATTTAAATATTAATTTAAAATATATAATATTATATTTTAAAAGATATAGACCAAAATGAATTTGAAAAATAAGATAAAGAACTAAAAGTAGGATTTAGTATTTTTTTATTTTAAAATTCAACTTAGCAACTTATAATTTTATAAAATACATTTTAAATATTATAATGTATATTTAGAGAGAAAAACACATTTTAGGTTATGTGTCAATTTTGTATACAAGCACCATGCATTTGAAAAAAATATATATTTACAAATAAGTGCAATTTAGTTTTATTTGGGATGATTTCAAATTTAAATCTAAAAATTGAATCAAACCACGCAATTTCAAAATTGTTAATTTGGGATTTTGTATTAGTTTTTGAATTTTTTTTTATTGATTTACAATTTTTTGTTTCGATCAGTTCGATTTTGAACATTCATACTTCTAACACACTTTTTTCTACACTTGTTCCTATTAGTTATTCTCTTTGTTCTATATTATAAACAAAAAAAATTGATTTTATACATATTAAAAAAATTAATTATCTGCATTAAATTTTATTAATTTTATATATTTTTTAAATTATTTTTGTTGTAAATGCCAAAAGAAGTAATGCAATTAGAACATCGTATATTAAAATTAGTTGAAATTTACTTACATATTTAAGAGGAAAGAAAAGTATTTTTTTTTACTTGTAATAAAGAATAAGGGAAGTAAAATTTATTGAAAATTATAAAATTAGTGAAGAAAATCATTAAATATGATGTGAAACTCATCAATTTTGTAGTTTTTAATAAATTTTAATTTAATAAGAGAGTTAAAAGAGTGTGATACAACATGTGTTACTTTCATTTTTCTTCTTTTAATATTTCCAATCCTAATTATAAGGAGCATAATCAAGATAAAAAAAATTAATATAATTACATTTAATTAATTTTATCACAAGTTAAAATTTTATTTCAAATATGTTACTTTAACTAATTATTATATTTAATATTAAGTGAAATATATTAAAAAATCATAATTTTAAAAACTAATTATCGTTACTTATGCTTAATATCAAAGAAAAAACTATTTTGTTTAGAAAGATACTATAACAGACAACAAGTTAAAACAACAGCTAATTAACATGTGCAGATATAATAAATTAAAATAATGATGGACTACCATGTGCGCATGTTCAATTTGTTCACATGTTGACCGCTAGAATTAGTCTAGTAATTAAGCGAGAAGAGCTCAGAGTAGTTAAAAATACGAAGATTTAGATTCAATTTTATTTTTTGTTTTTGACTAATTTTGTAATTTTTCCAGTCTTTAAAAAAGAAAAAAAAACATTTGTTCACGTGTTGTAAACAAGATGGTGGGCTGCGGTGGACCAACATTAAATCTATTAATATTTGACCGTTTGATTAATTTAAGTGGTAGATCAATATAGTGCACCTTAACCCACTACATTATTTCTCCGGCACATCCTCACGAATCACAAGCTCCGCCGTTGCTCTGTGCTTTGCCGCTCCGTCATGTCGCCCTCCGCCGCCTCATCCTCCGTGTATGGTTCTGTTGCAGCTTCCTCTAGTCACCGATGAGTGATACGGCACTTGCAACTTTGGGTGAGGGAAACTAAAATCACATGAAGCAAGGTACATGATATAAGATTTTCTGTAGATATCAATCTAAATTTCATGGTGGACCACATGAGATACTGTTCCACCTAGAATTCGCCTGCAAACAAATACTAATAATAACATAGTCTTTCTCAGTCTTTGTCGGTATCTTCCAAAAAATATATATATATAGTCTTCGTCGGTCGTCTTAGAAAAATGCACAACATTGATATTCTGTCCCAATGCTCTGTCTCTAAATCTGTAATGTGAGTCATTAACTCGAAGTCTCGATACTCTGCTTGCACTGCTACTACAATCCAAACATGGTAAATCATGTTGGTGTGTCTAAGACCAAGTGTACGTACGACGTTTTCCTTAATTTTAGAGGTGAAGATGTCCGTCGCACATTCATTTGTCATCTCTATCAAGCTTTGGATCGGAAGGGAATTGCCACCTTCATGGACAATAAGGAGCTCAAGTATGGAGATGAACTTAGCCCTACGCTTCTTAAAGCCATCGAAGAATCAAGGATCTCCATTGTTGTTTTCTCTAAAAATTATGCGGCCTCTTCATGGTGCCTTGATGAACTTGTTAAGATCCATGAGTGTATCAAGTCAAAGAAGCAGCAGGTTTGGCCAATCTTCTACAAAATGGATCCCGCGAATGTGAGGCATCAGAAAGGAAGTTATGGTCAGGCCATGACTAAGCATGAAACAAGGCACGGAAAAGACCCGGAGAAGCTGCACAAATGGAGATTGGCCTTGACTTACGTAGCCAACTTAAAAGGACAACATTTGACACAAGGGTAAGTAAATGTGTGTGTTGACTTCTAGTTATATATGAAGTATTTGCTACTTATTAATTTAAGGCCACGAACATATATAGGATACTTGTTTTGTTCATATATATTGTCGTTTGTGGCTTATACACGTTTATATAATTTTGGCAAAATCAATTTGATGATTAATTTAAAAAGCATTGTTTATCAGGACAAATGAAGCCAATTTTATTGAGGATCTTGTAAGCAAGATTTTCAATAAAGTATCTCCTAAAGATTTATCTAGATATGAACATATAGTTGGGCGGAAGTATCTAGTTGAAGAATTGAAGTTACTTCTAGATCTTGAGTCTCATAATATCACTTGCCTACTAGGGATTTATGGAACAGGTGGAATTGGCAAAACCACACTTGCCAAAGCTCTGTATGACTCCATTTACAAGCAATTTGAGGGTTCAAGTTTTCTTTCCAATGTCAGAGAAAAGTCAAAACAAATTAAGGGCTTAGAATTATTGCAAAAAAGTCTTTTGTCAGATATACTTGAGGTAGAGGAAAGCAAAATCCAAGTGAAAAATATTGAAGAAGGAATTATAACAATAAAAAGTAGACTTGATTTTAAAAGAGTTCTTATAATTCTTGATGATGTTGATGACATTAAACAGATGTATAGTTTGGCAAGAGAACACGATTGGTTTGGTCTTGGGAGCAGAATCATCATAACCACGAGAGATCAACATTTGCTAGATGTTGGCAGGATCAAAAAGAAATATGAAGTGAAAGTGCTAAACCATCCAGAGTCTCTGGAGCTCTTTTGTCAAAGCGTCTTTAGAAAAAATTATCCTAAATCAAACTATAAAGATCTGTCCCACCGCGCAATTCGTTGTTGCAAAGGCCTTCCATTGGCCTTAAAAGTATTAGGTTGTCATTTGGTTGGAAAAGATTTGAGTGGATGGAATGATGCATTGGACAAATATGAAAAAAGTCCACATGAAGATGTTCAAAAAGTTCTTAGAATAAGCTATGATAGCCTGTCCTTAAATGAAAAGGATATTTTCCTTGACATTGTATGCTTCTTCAATGGGTGGAAATTGAAACAAGCAAAAGAAGTACTAGATGCGTGTGATTTCAACTCAGGAGATGGTATTACAACATTAGTTAATAAATCTCTTTTAACTATTGACAACAAATACTTGCATATGCATGACCTAATACAGGCCATGGGTAAATACATTGTTAAAGAGGAAGCATGGAATGAATTTGGTGAACGTAGCAGATTATGGCATCATGAAGATGTTCTTCAAGTATTAGCTGATAATAATGTAAGAATGTGTTAACTTTATTTATTGATTTTGGTCATCTTTTAACATTTAAATTTATGTTAAAATTTTGAATACTTAATTAATGCCGGTTGTAATTGCTTTAAAGGGAAGTGGCAAAATTCAAGGCATAATCCTGGATCCCCCTCAAAGTGAAGAAGTTAATTGTACTCCTACTGTATTTAAGAAGATGGGAAATCTTAGAATCCTAATTGTTCGTAATACAAAGTTTTTATGCAAGCGTTGTTATCTCCCAAATAACTTAAAGCTACTTTACTGGGAGAATTATCCTTCTCCATCTTTCCCATCAGATTTTTATCCCAGGAAAATTGTGACCTTCCATTTATGTGAAAGTCCTTCACTTGTACTAAAAAAGCCATTTAAGGTACAAATTCTTTTTCTTTTTCATGTTTTACTTGAATGTTTAGATTGCTCGATCTTATCACATAACTGATTTTATTTTTTTTATCCTCAATTGTAGGGCTATATATATTACACTTTTCTCATCTCATTTTGTTCATTAGTGTTAATTATCTTATTATTTGAGCCAATTGTAAATAAAAAATAAAAAAATTACATTGTGCCCATTACCTTCTTTTGGAAACAAATGACAAAATTTGGATGTACAGTTGTTAATTAATTGATATATGTATGTTTTGCAGAAATTTGAGCATTTGACTTGCATTTGTATCTCCTCTTGTTGTAAGGTTACTGAATTTCCTGATGTGTCTGGAGCCATGAATTTAAGAGAGTTGAGACTTGATAGATGCGAGAACCTGGTTAGTATACATGAATCAGTTGGATATCTTACAAACCTTGTTTCCATACAGGTTTTAGGATGCACTAAACTCCAAAGTTTTGTGCCAACAATCTATTTGCCATCTCTCGAAAACCTTTGCTTTAGCTTGTGTACAAAACTCACTTACTTCCCAGAGATCAGGGAGATGATGGATAAGCCTTTAAAGATTATAATGATGGATACATCAATTACGGATCTTCCAGAATCCGTTGAGAAACTTATTGGGCTTAAACTTATTGACATGACAGGTTGTAAGGAACTGCGACATTTACCAAGTAGCTTATTTATGTTGCCAAATTTTGTTACATTAAAAATTGGAAAATGTCATGGACTTCGAGAGTCATTTAGAAGGTTTCAAGGAAGCCATTCAACATGCCCAAAACTAGAGACATTAGATTTCTGCGATGCTGATCTATCAGAAAGAGATCTTTCAACGATTATTTACAATTTTCCAAACTTGAAAGATTTAATTGTTTCGCAGAACAATTTTGTGTCTCTCCCAGCAGATATTATAAAATCTACTAAATTGGCAAGTCTTGACGTGAGTAGTTGTGAGAAGCTTGAAGAAATTTCAGAACTTCCATCAAGTATTGAGAAAGTAGATGCAAGAGAATGTAATTCCTTAACTTGGGAGACATCAAACATGTTATGGTCTCAGGTTTGCTATAGTTCTACATTTGCTGATATAAATAAATAAATATATATATATA